AAGAATGAATAGAGAGCTGCTGGATCGAACAGAAGAATCTGTCTTGACAGTGTAGTTTTTCCAAGTGGCCATCCAGATGTTTTACATGTTCACAAAATGCAGGGTAGATTCTGCGAATCAAAAGCGGACGGTCTCTATGGGAGTGAGAGGTGAGGGTGGCTTAAATGCCACCAATCCACTAATTCTTTTTTTTCCTTTTACAGACTGTCTACTAGCAGTCATCACTGCATCCTGAGGAAGTGAATTCCATCAGTTAACACTAAGTTCTGGATGAAATGGGAGTTCCTGTTCTCTACTCTGCACCTTCGGTCAAATCGACTTCTTTCAACAGTGCCCAGGCACAAAAGCTGCTTTCCTCTGATCCTCCAACGATGTCCAGAATTCCCAGCCAGCTAGGTTGTGTCAGGTGGCTGAGGTTTCTGGGAATTGTAATTCCAACATTTCTAAGGGCAGCACAATTGGGAGGGCTGGCCTGGTTCCTGAAGGAGAGGAGAAAAAGACTTCTTGAGCAACTCCCCTCTTCTTAGTTTGAAAAAATTTGAGGACTAAACTGCACACAAAATGGTGATTTTGTCTTAAAAGCTGCCAGGAAAGTAAAAGGGGGAAATAAATGTGCCCGGGAGCGGCAAAAGAACTCAAGATGGTGGCTGCACTCACCCAATTGAAGGTCCAGCCCTTCTTAATGGGTTGTACATATTCAATGCATGTAAAAAGAGGGGAGGGGGCTTCGGTTAAGGTCGACATTGTGACCTTCCAGCAGAAATCTATAAACGCTAATATGCCTGGGTATGTATGTATATGTATATTTAAAAAATACTAAATCTAATAAATAAATTAAAATTAAAATCACAGTAAAAATGGCCATCATGTCATTACATCTCATGTGAGATTTGACTATCTTGTTAAAGTATGCTGCTGTGGATGGTGCTGTTGGAAGTCAGAGGGGTGGATCCCAGCGCTGGTGGGTGTGACACCCCACAGGGTGCAAAATCTGTTCGACTTTGTCACCAATGACAAAAGGTCATCAAGGTCAGATGAACAGTGGTGGGAATGGCTGGAGGGACACTATGGGTTTGGGCTGATGAGGGGTTTCCGCTAAGATGGGAGTCAAAAAAGTCAAGCTGGCAGCTGGAATCATGTAGTTGAAGCCCTGCTGCTTTTTTTACATAAGGTAGGTGGACGGTGACCAAGCCAGAAATCTTTTAAGGATGACAGATGTCTCATGGAACACTTTCCCAAGAAAGAATGTTTGGTTTGACATTGTCATATGATGAAAAAAAATTATTTGCCAAGACCAATATTTGCATGTTTGGAATACCTGTATTGCTGAACACTGATGCTGAACTTTTAGAACTGGGCAGCTCTACTGTTCATCTCTGTATGATGTTGCATTTATCATATGCCACTTTTGCAGATTTTCTAAAGAGCAGCCTAACTATCATTCTCACAATTTTTAAAAAAGAGGAAAAGAACACTTCTGAACTTTTTTGTTCCAGATGATTCACACTTTTTATTTGCTCTGTTTCAGTATATTACAAACTAACAACAGGGAAGTGTGCATGTGTGTGTGGCAGGGTGTCTTTAAGGTGGACCTTCAAACAGTTGGCCATGATGTTTGGAAAGCTTGGGAGAAAGGGGGAAGTGCACTTCTGCGAGCCAAAGAAGATGGAAGGAACTAACAGTGGAGAACTGGGCACACAAAGGGTATCATCACCATGTCGTATACATTAGATGAGACAGAGACTGGGTTGTGGGGGAGAGAAGACGGGCAAGGGGTTTACTGCACCAGCACTGGAATCTCTGAAGCAGTACCTGACAGCATGTTCATTCCTTGGTTCTCCCTCAATCCCCTTGACAGATCTTCTCAGTTTCAGAGAAACAAGACATTGCTGATGGAGATGGAGATGCTTGATGTCCGAAGTTGAGGGCTTTCCCGATGGCCCAAGGAACAGCTTGAGATGTCTAGAGCTGTCTAAGACTGCCCCTTGTCCATTACAGGGAAGTAGATTCCGGAGTGCTCTCTCCACAAAGTGTCAAAAGTTTATACAAATGGCGTGCGGGGCTCTTGCCTTGTGAGCTGACAAAATTATGAGTTGGTTGGTAAGCGGTGAGTTTTCAGAAGCCCATTGAACAGATGATCAAGTGACACACCTTAGTAATACTGGAGAACAAAGGGTCTAAGAAGGTCCAGTTTCCAAGTCATAAACTACAACAATGGACTTTTGAGCCCAGAGCCAAAAAATCAGGGCAGCTTGAGTAGAAAGTCTGGAGACACGCACAATCTTTCCTTGGCTTGGAAGTCATGGGATCCACCTCTTCTATCTTCCAGCTCTCCAGCTCCCCATATCAAATAGGGAAATTTGGCAAGGATACATCAGTGGACTTTTCTTCCCCTGGAAGAATGGATTCAAAGCACAGACCCACCAAATTTGAAGGGATTCCTAGAATCTCTTGAACAGGGATTTCCTCCACTCCACTGCACAATTCTTGAATTATCATCTTTAAACACCCTCTTTTGCCACCCATACATTGTATTTATTATGCAGGATAATTCAATTTTATTGTAACAGAATAATACATGATAACTTTTTAAGCACAACCAGCCTTGCCCAACCATGGAGATTGGTTGATCCAACTTAAATCCCAAAGGAATTCCTTTACAATTAAATTAGAATGATCATGCCCTTTCATTATAATTATACCAATGGGATTTTTTTTTAGACCTTTATTATATTATTCCCTTGGTCTCCATCCCCAATCTCCCACCCATTTGGAAATGCAAAGGTAATTTTCAGCCAGAGAGATAGAAAAAATAATGGTAATAAAATAAGGCATAGTCCACATGTGGCTGGCACTGAGCGAATGCAGATGACCAAGCTCTAATTACATAGAAGCTCAGCCCCTACCTGTTTTTATTACCCACATGATCATGTGGGGCCCCAACAATACAAGTGAGGATCCTTACAAACGTTGAGAAAGGTCAACTATATTAGTGCTAAGTTTTCTGCATCAGCACCAGTTCTGTGATTTGCCCTCAAAAGATACTCCCTATCACAGATACTGATCATCTCAACACTGGAGTGCACTGGAGTGCTGAATATCTTCTCCCTCTCTACGGGTTAGTTGCAGGTGGGCTATGCAGCAGCTAAACCATGGAACTTTGTTCCCTTCTCTTTAGGACTGCTTTCAACTCTTCATCAAGGTTTACAAATTTACAGTTGAAAGAAGATGAATTTGAAGAAAGCCCATCACTCAACAGGACAGCATATGCTTTGCATGCCAAAACTTCCAAATTCGATTAGCTAAGGAACAGAACTAAGAGGGAGTTTTCTGATGAGAGGTTTTAGAAGGGCTACTGCAGCCAGAGTGGACATCCCCGGGCTCAGTGGACAAATAATCTCACAGCTCAGTGTGCAGGCAAAAGGTTCAGGTGTGATCCTTGTTCAGCATCTCTGGTAAAAGAAGTAGCAGGTCATCTCTGCACGGCTTCTTCCAATACCCCAGCTGCTTTGCTAGTTACAGGAAAGTAAGGAAGCAGAGCATGGGAGGAGAAGGGAAACAGGATGAGCTCCTTCACAAAGAAATGATTGTCAAGCCAAGCAGGAATGTGCAAAAGAAGCTTACCCAGCAACTTCTCCCTGCCCTAAAATGCTGCACGGATGCATTTTATGAATACAAATGGAAGAAGACGCTTGAATGATATCACTATGGAAAACTCTTCTTCTAGGTTCTTTTGGTCAAAGCAAGGGAGTGTTCTCAGAGTAGGCTTCCCCCAACTTGGCACCCTAAAGTTGCAACTACAGTACCAGATTCCATTTGACCAGGCTGTCTGTCACAATCTCAGTGCTACTGGGGAGACAGGATGGGGAATCTACTCCAGAATCCTGAAATCCTTGGATAGAGCTGATCTATCCATGATTGCAGTGCTTTTGGGGGGGGGGGGAACTGCATGGTCCCATTGGACATACCCACTCTTATGTGCAGAGGGGGTCTTCTCCACCATGTAACAATTTCTTCACTGCTTCTCTATCATGTCTAAGGAAGACTAGTCAGGCCTGCTCCTAGCACTTGTGTGGGTTCAAAGATGCTGTGGACTCTGATACACCATTTGGAAGATATACTTTGGGAAGCTGATGTAATAGTATGTTCAGAGCTTGGGAAAGATTCAGGAGATGCTTTGAAAACAATTATCTATACACCTGTCAGATATCTGGGAGGAGAAGAATCAGCTTACTAGTTCACAAGAAACACTTGAGAAAGTCTCAGTCTGAACAAACTGAAAGATAAATTGAGTTCTAAAGTGGAAGTAATCTAGTTGTTGAGATTGCTATAACTTTATCCTTCACCCTTTCAGTAAATCTTGTTTAAAAAGATTCAGTGGGGAGCTCACTTTCAGTTGAATTGGGGGAAACTGATGCACCTTGATTCCACCCTCCAGCCCCACTCTAGATTTTCCAAGATCAGCCCAGCCCAGAGCTTGGAGTCACATTCTTGAATCTTATTTAGGAAAAGAAAGCCGTGCTGATAATCTAGGAAGGAGCAGAGGAGAAGGAAGTGCAGTTATGAAACTGGTCAGTGGTGCCACACAGACAGTTTACCAGCATAAAGCTGGGTCTCCTGGGGAAACAGCTTAGAAAGCAAGGCCAGTCCATGGATCTCAATCAAGCAAAAGGGAAAGTAAGATGGCCTATTAACTGGGTATGATCATGGCCAGAAGGATAATTACCCTGGAG